CCCCAAAACCCCAAAACCCCAAAACCCCAAAACCCCAAGATGAGATTGTCTAAAATTGTATTAAATTTCCAAATTTCAGCTATTTCAACATCATAACTTCTTTCCATTTTATTTCTGAGAAAGCAGGGTGCGCCATGATCTCAGGCAAGGAGATCCTGTCTTCAGGGAATCACACGAATATTTTCTTAAGTAGGTCTTTCATCTCTTTTTTAAGGTTATTTAGGCATCATGTATTCATTATTGACCACTTTGCAATGGATCCGCACTGGGTCGTTGCTGTTGAAAGGAAGAGCACCACCCAATACTTCACACATAGTCACTCCTAGAGCCCAGATATCACTTTTGTGGTTGTAGCCATTGCCAAACAGCATTTCTGGGCTTTGGTATCCTGGAGTGCCTCAGATGGTGTATGTCCTTGAGTCATTTAGGCTATTAAATTTCTTGGAAATTCCGAAATCAATGAGCTTGACATGACCTTCTTTGGAAAACAATACGTTATCAGGCATGAGATTTCTGTAAATAATATTACTGTCGTGAATACTCTTGAGAGCTCAGATTATCTCAGAAAGATAGAAGCTAATCTCTCCTTGTGAAAGCCCGAGCTTGGACTTGATTCTCTGCTCTAAATTTTCCTGACTCAGATACTCAGTTAGAAGATAGAAGTTCTTGTCATCCTGGAACTGACTTTTGAGGTTCACAATAAAATTGTTATTTCCGCAATTCTCTCAAGCAGTACTTCTCTCTCTTGATATCCATCAAAGTTGTATTAGTTTCTATAATGAGAAGGAGGGCTTACCTTTGCTGTAAATGTAATATTTATTTATACACTTTGAGTGCATATTTCCTCATATTTTTATCTAAAGTTTAGAAGAAGAATACCTAAAACAGAGTATACTTTAGAATGATTGCCAATTTTCAGACACTCAAGAATTTCAAAATCTATAATTTATACAAGAGGTATACCATCTATGGACTTCCGTTTGCCAGATTTACTTTGAACTTTGAGAAAATCTTGCTTCAGAAGAGCAGAATTGAAAGTCTGGTCAAAACCACCAGAGATAGAATCAGGGGCTGGAGAGAAGGGGTTGTCTATTGATTGCTTGCTTGAATCATCAACAGACCTCAAATCACTACTTCTACAGTTTTGCATTTGCTTTTTGCTCTCCCCTAAATCCTTATTTCCTTAACTTACGCTTTTCTTCACCTAGCCGTGTGACTTTCGGATTATTATTAGTTCTTCTAAATTTTGCAGTGAAATTGCCTTTTTTCTTAAGATTTTTCTTTATGCTCGAATTCTTTCCTGTCTCTAGTGTCTCGGCGCTGCTCTCGTTCATGACTGGAAGCCCGTTTTGATCAACCAGGTTTATTTTCGGATTGTTTCTGTTCTAAAGATTAGAGATAGCCTCACTAGCATTCTTTGAACACTTTCGAAGAGCTGGTTTAAGCTAGACATTTTCCTCCTGTATTTGGAAACTCTAGGTTGCATACTGTAGTTCCTGAGAATGCTAGCCCTTCTTTTATGAATTTTATTTGGAACAGAATCTTTCTTCTCCTCCTTTTCTTTTGGCTTCACTTCCTTTGTTAAGTCTATTCTTGGCTTTGAAGGTGATTTTCCTGAAAATAGTTATTGAAAAGATTAGCAATAGAGGTGGACCAACCTGACTTGCTGTTACTGGTTTGATTTCGTTTACTCTTCTTGAAGGACCTTTGCTTCATTTCTTCTCCCGTAGTATCATTCATAACGTATCTCTGAACAACGCTAAGTTTATTTTTAAAAGTCTAAATTCTCAGGCCTAAATCTTACTTTCTGTAAACTTTTTGTGATTATTTTAGGCTTTGATCTAACTCTGCGATGAACTCTTCCGAACTTAGGTTTTGTTTCTATCTTCTCTCTCAATCTTGCCCTAAGACTTGGGCTAGGACTAAGAGGTTTCACTACATTATTATCTCTTGTTCCTACTTCTAAACCTAGATAATGGGCGCTGAATAATTCTTTTGCTGGCTGTAGATTTATTATTCCGTTTTGCCTTCTTATAAAACTGGTAAAATTGGTTTGTAAAGTCTAGAATTAGTAGAAAGAGAGTACCTAGGATATCTTTTATCTCAGGATCTCTTTCCTCTTTGGCAGTCTCTTCATCCTCTGAGGAGCTAAGCCTTGAGTTGAAGTTACTAAAGGATTTATGCGGAATGGTACTTTTGGAGGAGGCAGATGCTGTCATTGTGGAGGATTTGTATATCTTCGCTTAGAATAGGGCTGAATTTGGTTCTAAAAGGTTATCTTGTTGTTTAGGAGTTGGGATTTTATAGACTTGTGTTGTCTGGCTAAGAAGATAAGAGTCTCAGATTTAGATAATTTGTGATTATGTTTAGATAGATTTTGGTTGATTAATTGGGCTCATTATAGCCCAAAAAATCATCAAAAACTGTATTTAATCCAAGCCAGGACAAAATCTTGCTTACAACCTAGAATTTCCAAGATCTTGTTGAATCTCCCTTTCTTCCTTTATTTCCCTCTCTTTAGGCTTGCTAAATCATGTTGCTGATCGGTCTCTTCTTCCTCCGTAACGCTTGCGGGCTAACTTAGCATCCTGGTTTGCAGAAAGACACCTTATCCTTCTATACCGATGCTTGCTGTTTGGCCGCAGGCCAAACAGCTGGTCAACGTGTTGAAGGGACTTTCTGGTCAAGCTCAGGTTTGAAGTCAGGTTGGCAACCTCCTCTGAGGAAGCGGGATTTTGATGATTTCAACTGTGGAGGGAGTGAGTTTGCTTAGAAGAGATTTTGGGGTTTTGTGGGTTTTCGAATTTTTGGAAAAGTGTAATTTTGAGTGGAATTAGAGAGGTGGGAAATACCTTGAAGTTTTGGGGGTTTTAAAGCAGAGGGGTTGGTAGGGGGTGAGGGGATAAGCGATTTCTAAAGGTTATTTAGATATACTTTTGTGGAATTTTAGCAAGTTTGTTCGGAGATGTTTTGAAATTCTTTTTCTGCTTTCTTTGGAGTCATTGATTTTTAAGGTTTTATTATAAGGATTTCCGATATCTGGGGAATGTATCCCTGATCTTAGGAGTATAGGGCTTTTTATGTTTATTACAGTTTTTCTAAATAAGGTTAGAAATAAAAAGTACAAACCAACAGTCATATTTATTTCTAAGAAAACTAAATAAATTTAAATCATTACCCAACATCCATAAGACCATCTAAGATACCAAAATATGCTATCTTAGCTCAATTTATCTCCAAAAAGTTACCTTGGACCTTGAAAACTTTCCATTTTTAAATCAATTTTCTATAAACTTCAGGGGTTTTGGGGTTTTGGGGTTTTGGGGTTTTGGGG